GAAGGAGGAGAAATGAGGGCAGAGATAGGCGGCGAACCCGGAGCTGTAAAGCCCCAAGAGTTAGCCGACTCCTCCACAGGGACAATCGACAGGAGGGGAGTGACGTGAGACACACTAGACGGGGCAGGACGAGGACGGAGAGAAGCAGAGGCTACCGGGGGAGTGGGGACCAGAAACAACGGCGGGGCAACTGGGAGACCTCGGTGGGGAAAGCGGGAGTAGAAGGAGACAGACTCGTCAAAAGTGCTAGTCAGACGCGTCAAGGAAGAAGCCAAGGAAGACACAAGGGATGGTGCGAGCAGTGAGCTTGTCCGTGACGGAGGCACAGACGTGAGAAATGCAGCCCCAGACATGGGACACAGATGCGTCACCGGGGGACCCGGCTTAGAGGAGGGTCAGCGAAACCCGCGGCCACTGGGAGTGTGGCCACAGGTTAAGCTGGTGAGCAGCGAAGCGAACAGCGAATGGCCACAAAAATGGGGTACACCGGCATGGATAATGGAGGTATGAGCCACCTCCATGACCAAACCGATGCGTTGCTCAGCCAACCCATTCCATTGTGGGGAGTCCGGCAGGGTGTACGACTGGGTGATGCTGTTAGAATACGAGATGAAAAGAAGCAAGGGTGAACACGGAAATATAGGTTTGGAGTTGTACCATCTAAGAACATACACCTATCTAGCCTATAACTTCTATATACTAACATATGTATAAGTTGACACACCCCATACGCTAGATAAGGGGTACTGCTGAGCAAGAAACGAGCAACTCAGGGTGGCACTTCTAGTCCAACCGCTGAGGCAAGGGTCCAAAGACTAGTCGGCAAGAGTACAAACAAGACAAGACCAAACCAGGGCGGCACTACTAGTCCGGCCACTAGAAGAGAAGCCACAAGGCCAGTCTGGAAGGTATAAATATAGAGGAGTACACAATCAAGCGAGAGTCTGCAGGAACGAGACCAAGCTGCAAGCAGTGCCGCTGATGATCTTTAGGCGCAAGCGCCTTAGTAAAGATATCAACTGTGTTGGCACCGGAGGCCAAGTGTACTACGCGGGCCTGGCGACGCTGCCGTAGCTCGCGCAGAAGGAAGTACTTCATCTGGATGTGCTTCACTCTGCCCTCAAGTCGTGGCTCCTGACACAGGAGGATCATGGCCCTTTTGTCAGCGTACAGAACTGGGGCAGAGCTAGGCTGCTCACCCAAGTCGGAGAGTAAGAAGGTCAGCCAGCGAAGCTCCTGTGCCGCCATGGCACCGGCACAGATCTCAGCCTCACAGCTAGACTGGGCAACATTCGAGGAGCGAGTGGACCTCCACGAGATGGCACCCGAACCAAGACTAAAGCAGTAGCCCTGGTTGATTCTGAGGGTCTCAGCGTCGTCTGCCCAAGAAGCGTTTGTAGAAACAACGGCATCTACGTAGACGAGGAAGTAGAACGGTGTCTGGCCAGCACGAACGAAGAGAGAGGGGTCTGTAGAGGACGGAAATAACGGCTGGTAACCTAGCGTAGCACGCAGCGTGTCGTGCCACTAGCGGGCCACTTGTCGCGGGCCGTAGGCTCGGCGTCGGAGGAGCCACTGGGTCCCGGATGGGGAGGTACCGGCGAAGCCCTAAGGACGGCTGTGAGAGTACGGCACTGTTACACCAATTTCCCCTTTCTATATTTCCATTCGATTTCATTCCTTTTTCTTTTTCCTGATTCATTTGGTCTTTATCTCATCTCATTTGGTTTCCTATTCCTCCTTTTCCATAATCCTTGGGTTTATCCTGTTATTATAATTATATCACCGACCAGGCTCGGGATGTACTGGCCCGCTATATCTAGCGTAATCCTGCTGTACTCCCTTATAGCCAATAGCCTCGCGTGGCTATACGCATAAATATTCTATTTCTAGAGGGGTCTATTCCCTTCTGATAGGATAAACCTGGTTACCTGATGTACTCTGGAAGTATAAAAGCACCTTGTACTGATTGATAGTGCAACATTGAGCTAAACCTCATTCGATCCTATGACACTTGGTAATCAGAGCCAAGGTTTCAGCTCAACGCTTAACCGTTGGGCCCCCGGGAGCACGCCGAGGATGGAGTTGAAACTTCAATTCCTGTAAGTACAATGCACCTTCGTCTAAGTTTCGACTAACCTTGCGCAGTTGCACCTAGGGTCCCCTTTGAACGCGAGATGCCTCGTCGACCGTTCGATGGACTGCATCGACGGAGCCGATTTTTTCGCGAGGGATAACGGCCTCGACTTCGCGAATGTGTCACTTCTGGTGGAACACTCCCTGCGACATTCCGAGAAGTTCGCAGTTCGCCACGACTCTTGGAGTTGCGCGAAAATGTGCGGAGCTGCGACTGACGACATCCGTCCGATGGAGATTCGACACTTCAGATCGACCGAGGCGAAAACGAAACCTTCTGAGCGAGTTCGAGTTTCAGCGCGAATGAAAACGGGACCTCACAATCTGCGAAGTTCTTCGGAGCGTCCGATCGTTCGACCGCAGAAATCGACGACCGAGAATTGCTGCAGGAAACGAGTCGACCTGGGCACCGAAAGCTGCTGAACGGGACTCAGAGTCTCCTCAGATCGCTTGGATTTTGAACCGTCGGATTGACCTCTGCTTCAACGGACGAGATGGAGCGTGACTTCTGCACAAAGGGATAATGACGCGCAGAACCAGAAATTTGCCGCCTTCGACACCGTTGACATCATCTAGACAACCAAATTCGAATTCCTTCATTTGGTGATGAATTTGGCGCGCAAATCATCTGCCAAGTCAGAAATCTGCCAGAGTATTACCTACTTGGTAATAGCTGCAAGCAGAAAACTGACAGGAAAACGTGGAACGTCGGATCGGTGCAGAATCAATGGCACGAATGCAGCAGAGACTACACCATGGAAAATCATCATCATGGAGACAACATTCGTGACCAGCGACTGCATAATCGACGCATCTTCTAACTCGTGTCGATAACGATACGATTTATTTTAACGAAGTCATCTTCGTTAAAAATGGATCGATATCAACACAGTGGATCTTCACCCTGGAAAAACAATGAAGTTGCGTGAAGACATGTTCTCCATCCACGAGGCACTTCTCCATACAAATTGATCGACAAGCTATGGGATTGCAGAGAAGTAGCAGTTTTCTCTTGCAATATTCCCAAGATCAATTTGCTGCGTAGGAGCAGATTTCGCACGCAATGACGACGCACTGAACCCGTCTCGTCAAGGCCAGCGAGACACTACTTCGTAACAGCAGCTGAACGATTCGCATTCATCAAGAATCTCAGCCATCCGAAGTGAATATTTGTAGTAGTCTCAATATCAACCTCACGAGGCGACACACCAATAATGCGTCGCGATTCCAGGTGTTAATGACCTGCGTGAAACTTTTTTTCCGTGCATGTCACGATGCTTGATAGATTGAGGAGTAATTAACCTCCAATCAGGCAAGTACTCGTTCACTAGCAACCCTACGGCACATGCATTGGAGGCGATTCTACTAGAAGCCGAAGCGTTACAAGCATCAGCGTAATTTCGACGATGCAGGAGAACGCCAAGCAACATGATGTGTCAAAAAATGAGGGAGATGCGGACTACTACAACACGATCACGCGCTCTACCGACCGTACATCAAAGGCACGGATGAGCATGCCAGGAATTGATACCCGTTGATACATTGAGGGGAGAAGCAAATTTCTCTTCATACCCTCAAATGAAACAATCACCGGCAGCAATGGAGCAATACATGTGTACTAATGTGCACGTGTTCCTGGTAGTTACGCCTGTTACACCCATCAGGAACACTCTAGTGGGAAGAGGGAGTTGATGGATTCTCCTTCAATCACTTCGAAATGAGAGAATTCTCTGCAGCAGCTGCCACCGTCGCCATCGCCGCTACCATTGCCGCCGTCACAGCTGAAGACTCGACACAATAGTCATATTCAAACCCTGATGGATGATTCTCCGCTCAATGGAGATAACGGTGGATTATATTCCTGTATGATCGTAAAGACCCGGCCAGACACAATACTATGATTTCCAGCTAGTGGGAAGGAGATTCCACTATGCGAGGGAACATTACGGCAATGCCATGTACCCTCAAGAGCAAAATATATTTGCTCTTATGAGGATGGGAGGACAACGGTACTCTACCGGTATACAAGTCCTCATGGCCTATGGCTTTCCTTAAAGTCATAAAACCGGCGTCGCAACCAATCCATCACCTGCACCAACTCCACGGAAGCAGATAGGCCTAAAATGGAGCGCCGACGCCACTCCGGATAGTGGACTCCGCGTATCTCCAACAACACCCCTATTTGCCGAAATAGAGCAGACTTCAACATTGATGCTAAGTAGCCGAGACGTCTTCGACATCAACGCTACTTCAAGGACAGTGAGAAAATGAGACAACACATGATGGCACCAGAAGACCTATCTCAATATGCGCGCCCAGACACCGATGCCTACCGATGGCCTCCGTGCTACAGTAGACGTGCATAAGGTCATACTAGATTGGCTATCAGCAATGCCAGTTTGGAAATGGGAGAGGATTATTTGAGAATACCCTCAATATTCCCAATTGTCCTAACCCATCACTATGGGATATCTACGCAGCAGAGATTCCTTGCTTGAGCAACCACCGAGGGAAACTACTTTGGCACCGATTCTGGAAGTTACGAGCTCCGCGTTTATGGTACCAACCCCTCGCATGGTTCTAAACACAAGGGATACACTGAGCAGCGCTACGATGCCGAGAGGGTACAACTTGCGACAACACTACGGCATGGACTAGCATTCGACAGAAGGTGCATGTATCTGATACAATGCTGCTACAGAAGCAGGACTATGACACGACTACAACACCACCAACACTTAGTCTTCTTCATACGTGGACGGGATGCGAGTAACACCAAGATGTGTTCCCCGAGACTCAACGCATGCTACAGTGTGCCAGCTAGAGCACCAACCGAAGGGACAGTACATCTACTCTTCTACTACAACATCTCAATCATTATCAACGCCATCCGCGTTCCACCTACAGACGCAACCCGCTTACACCACAACACCCGACAAATCCATTTCATTTCCGTTGTCCATCAGCTCTAACACCGGACACGCCACTTGGACATCCAACAGCAGGAGAAGCACTTGGCTACTCATCACTACGGTTATCCACACCATAGTCTCGACATCAGCCATCTTCCATCCAAGCTTCAACCTTGCTTCTGCGGGTCTCTCCTCATTGAAGCAAATATCACTTCAGTCACCTTCTGCTTCTGCCTACCAGCCACTTGGAAGATCCATAACACCTTCCATACCAGCTTCTAAAACCCTATCAAGACCAAGCACGCTCTACACCGAATGCCAACCACCGTCGTCGCCCGTGTTCATCCACGACATGGGACAAAAACATACTCGGACACCATCGTCTTCACAAGAGCACTCTGGACAGAAAAATCGTCTTCACAAGAAACGACGTCGACAAAAAACTAGCCGTTGGAATGTCGCGAAACTTGGATGTCTTGTAGCTCTTAATCTCAGCTACCGTTCCCAATTTGAATCATGTTGATTGATGAAGTATTCGCGACGCTATGGCTTTCGACGCACTAGGGGGTAAGCTGTAGGAGGAGAACTTAACTCAATCTCAAAAGTTCAATCAAAGTTCAAGAATCTCACAAGGAATCAGAAGGAGCAAGAGAAAGGTTGGGATAGGAAGAGAGGGATGAGAGGGAAGGTCCCAAGAGAGTCCCCAACCAAGGAAACCCCATAAGCACCAAGATTCCCTCCCTATAGGAACCTCAACTTTGACCTTTGTCCCTTCCCAACCAATCCATCCAAGTTGGCCACCCTTGCCAACCTAGCTTGGTTGTTCCCAACCTATTTGCAGCTGTTACAGTAGAGTGACAAGTTTTCCCAACCCCAAAGGTCCCAACTCCATATAAAGTCACCCCACAACTTCACTTAGTAACCGCCGCAATTGTAACGCAAGCTCATGAACTTTGAATCTTCATAGCTTTCGCGTTCTTGCTCCGATTGAAGCGATTCTTGTTGCGTCGGAAAGATCTTCTCAAGATCTATCATCACAAATACCTGCTCAAACAAAAAATAACACAGAACACATTCCCAAACTCCAGAACACACACCACACAAATGCTTGCACATTCAAACCACACATGCAAGTTTAAAACATGGGATGGGAGGCAGACAGAATGTGATAGCATATGATGACATCACACAACAATCTCCCCCTCTGGCTGCCAACCATCATCCACCATACCACATCTCAAGCATGCATACTCAATGCACACTCATCCCAGCAAGCTTCATGCCCTTCCAATGATCCGCCTCCGCCAGACGCTTAGTGAAAATATCTGCTGCCTGCTGATGGGTCTTCACTATCTCCAGCCGCACCTCCTTATCAAGGATTCTCCTCACCCAATGCCACTTAGGCCTTATGTGTTTTGTCAGCCCATGCAGACAAGCATTCTTGGCCAGCTTCACTGCAGACTCATTGTCACAGAACACAAGTGTCGGCTCCTCCTGACCAACTCCCAACTCCTCCAACAAACGCCTCAGCCATACCACTTCCTTGGCCCCATGGTGTAAGGCCATGTACTCAGTCTCACATGAAGACAATCCCACCTCATTTTGCTTCTTGCTGCGCCAGCTCACAGCACCACCTCCCAGCAAGCACACATAACCCCCAATGCTGGTGCCATCCGCTTTCACTGAGTTGAAGCTAGCGTCAGTATAGCAACTCAAGAGCATCTCACCACTCTTCACATCTGCAGCACCTCTCTGCAACCGCTGCCTCACTCCACTGTACTCCAATCCCACTGATGCCGTAGCACTCACATAGCGGACCAACCTCTTCGCCGCTTCCAGCTGCTCATGACTAGGGCGTGAGACCACACTAGCCAACCGTGATGTAGAAAATGCAATGTCAGGCCGTGTATGATTTGCAGCATAATTCAGCGACCCAACCATCGAATGAAACAGCTTCCTGTCACTCTCACCCACTACCTCCTCATCAGCACATGGCTCCACAGTAAACCCTGAAGGTAGTGGTGTTGCTAGCTTTCCCCCATCTTGCAGCCCATACTTCTCAGCCAGCCCCTCACAGTACTTCCTCTGGTGCAACCTCAGCACACCCTTTTCCACATCTCTCTCCACGTGCATCCCCAAGTAGTACTTCACCTCACCCATCTTGGAGCACTTGAACTGCATCTCCAGCATCTGCTCTGCGCTGTCCAGCAAAGCAGTGGATGCAGAAAAGAGAAGGATATCATCCACATACACCAAGAGCATGAGGATTTCATCCTTCTCCTGCAGCAGGAACAGGCTGGGGTCACACTCACTCTTCTTGAAACCCCCAGCCAACAGCGCCTCCTCCAACTTGTGATACCATGCACGAGGCGCCTGCTTAAGGCCATAGATGGCCTTCTTCAGCCTGCAGACCCTGCCGCTCCCGTCATCCAGCCCCTCTGGCTGCTTCATGTACACCTCCTCCATAATGATCCCATTCAGAAAGGCAGTCACAATATCCATCTGCCGTATCTTCCATCCCAGGAGTGCAGCGATCGCTAACAGCACCCTCAGTGTTGTTCCTTTCCCCACAGGAGCAAACACCTCATCATAGTCCTTCCCCTTTGTCTGCAGAAACCCCCTTGCCACAAGCCTAGACTTGTAGCGGGTCAGCTCCCCTTCAGGTCCATACTTGTGCCTGTAGATCATCTTGGAAGTGATTGCCTTCTTCCCAGGAGGCAAGTCACACAGGTCCCATGTCTCGTTCTCAATCAGGGACCCAAACTCCTCATCCTCACTCGCCTTCCACTTCTCCCCATTTGGTCCATTCAAGGCCTCTTCTCGAGTCTTGGGCTCAGGGATTGGTGCCCAGTAGCAGTGAGCGATCTCATCTTCCTCAATCTGCTCAACCACACTCCCAGCCTGCACCACATTCGGCTTGCCTCTTCCCCCATAGGTCAGCCTCACCGGAGGGCGCACATCCCTCCTAGGTCGCTCAGGCGGGTGTGGAACTCGAGATGGAGACTCATGCTGCTGCTGCTGCTCCACCTCAGCTGCTCCCCCTTCCTCAGTCACCCCAGACATCTCCTCCTCAGACACTGCAACCTCCACCTGTCTTGAAGGCCGCTGCACCTCATCTACCTCCACAATGAGCGGTGTAGATGGAAGCTTCTGTTGCTGCTGCTTCCATTCCTTATAGTACAGGGACTCAAGAAACTTCACATCCCTTGACACTGTCAGCTTCTGGGTGGTCAAGTCCCATAGCAACCATGCTTTGTGATCCTTTGCAATCCCCAAGTGCACACCCCATCTTCCAGAAGCCTCCAACTTCCCCCTTTTCTCCTTAGGCACATGAAACACCACCATGCACCCAAATGCCCTCAGCATGTTCACAGCTGGAGCACTCCCATACCACTTGACATATGGGATCCACTCCTTATCTCCAACTGTAGCCAGCACCCTGTTCTTCACAAGGGCGACCTGCCTCAGTGCAGACACCCAAAACGGATCAGGCAGCCCTGCACGCCCAAGGAGAGTGCGTGCCCCCTCCTGCAGGGTCCTGTTGAACCTCTCAGCCACGCCATTCTGCTGTGGGTTGTAGGGCACTGTCAGTTGATGCTGGATCCCCTTCCTCTTCAACTCCCCCTCAAAATCAGCTCCAATGAACTCCCCACCATTGTCACTGCGGATCACCTTCACCTTGTGTCCGCATTCCCTCTGAGCTCTAGGCATCCACTCCTTAAGGACAGCCGCTGCCACCTCCCCCTTGCTCTTCAAAGGGTAAACCCACACTGCCCGAGTGTGGTCATCTACAATTGTCAAGAAATAGTGGCTGCCTGAGAGGGAAGGGGCTCTTGTGGGCCCCACCACATCCATGTGCACAAGTGCAAGTGGGGTCTTGGCTGGTCCTGTAGTGCTGTTGAAGGGGAACTTGGAGAACTTGGTCTCCAAGCATGTAGGGCAGCTCCCAATCTCCTTCACTCCCCCCTTCACCTCCAATCCTTTCAGGCTCCCATCCTTCACCAACTTCTGCAGCATAGGGAAGTTCACATGACACAGCCTCTCATGCCATGTCTCCCAATCGGCCTCTCCACTCCTTGATGAAGCCTTGGCCCATGCCGCGCTCGCATCCACACCAGCAAGCACCTCGCCATGTGTCTGCTGCTGCTGCACTTTCTTGACTGCTTCCAGGACCCCATCAGTTGGTGCAGTTGCATCTCCTCCTGCTGTTGCCTTTGCCGCTGCTGCCGTTGCTGCTGATGGAGTCTTCCCATTCCATGGGAGGATGGGCAGCTGCCACAGGTCCTTGATGCAGCTGGTCTCCTCTTCCAGACTCCACAGCACCTTCTTCCCAAGCTTAGCACGGCAGCTGGTTGGTCCAAAGGTCACTTCGGCCTTGCTCTTCTGCAGTCGTCGCATAGAGAGAAGGTTAGCAGACAAGCCTTCAACCAGCAGAACATTCCCAAGCCCCACAAGCTCCCCATTAGCTCCCTTAACCTTGGCATTTCGAACACCAATGACAGGGAGCAAAGCACCTGACGCTGCTGCCACATACTTGATCTTCCCAGGGGGTTTTACCTCATTAAGCAAATCTGCCCGTGGGGTCATGTGACCGGTGCAACCCGAATCAATCACCCAGTGCGTGAGAGGGTGCATCACAACCTTTCCCACAGATCCCACATCACCCTCATGCCCATGCACATCCTCAACCATAAGAAACAAACCAGGATAGGCATTACCTTGTGCACCTTCACCTTGTGCACCTGAGCCTTGCACAGCGCCACCTTGTGCGCGTTCACCACTGGACGGCTTCATGCCTGGAGGTGCCCATCCCTCCGGCCTGCTGAAGCACTTGAACCAAGGATGCCCGACCTTCTTGCAGTACCAGCAGGTGCCCTCCATTCTGGTACTCCCCCTGCCACTGGAGCTCCCATGCCCCTCATTATAGTCACCTCGGCCTCTACCTCTGCCAAAGCTCCTCCCACGGCCTCGGCCTCTCCAACCCCCTCTTCCTTTGCCGCGCCCTGCAGCTCCATACCCCTCAGCAGTCTTCGTGGCAGCACCGCCTCCCACATGGCGTCTACAGAAGTCCTCCTGCAGAATCTGCTGCCTTAGCCATTCAGGTGTCCATTGATCTTGCTGAGAGTTGAGGGTGGGGATGAGGTTGTCCCAAGAGTTGTCCAACACCGAGATGATCTTGGTGCACTGCTGCAGCTGAGATACACTGCTGCCCGCTGCTGCCATCCTTGCATAGGTGTCCTTGATCTTGTCAAGGACCGGCTTCACATCATCCCCTGGTCGCATGGAGATGGCAGCAAGTTCCTTCTCGAGCACGATCACCATTGGGAGAGTGTTGGGCTGAATCACATCACGTAGTAGTTTCCACGCCCTTGGACCCGAATCATCCGCTTCCACAAGATCCTTGATGTCCTCGAACATCTCCTTGTTGACCGATTGAAGGATGAGGTCGAAAAGCACCGCGCTTTTCTCAATCCACCGTTCACATGCTTCGCCTTCTTCCGGCATCTTCTCTTCCCCAACAGCAATCTTCAGGAGCTTGTAGCGTTTGAAGGCACTCCTCATCCGCCCGCTCCATTCCTCATAGTTGGAGCCATCCAAAGCTTCAACTTTTTATGGCGGCGGCTCACTTGTCTTCTCAGCTACAGCTCCTCTTCCATTAGCATCTCCTCCTCTCTCATTCATCTTCTCCTTGAGAAATGACGAATTTCAGCTCCCCTTTGCTGTCCACACACAGCTCCCTTGATATTTTTCACAAGTGTCGGCGTCCACGAAATTTCGGCAGAGTTTCCCCTTAGCGGAAGACACATCCAACCTTTAGAACACCACTTAGGCACACCCACAGGCCATGGTGGGTCTAGAAGGGTCTTCACACTTCTGTAGACTCCTCTCAATGTCCTTAATATCGCTCTGATACCACTTGTTAGGATTAAGGACGGAGGCTAGGTGAACTTAGGAGCTAGAATTACTCAAAATATAAATCCGAAATTCTGGACAGAAAATCGTCTTCACAAGAAACGACGTCGACAAAAAACTAGCCGTTGGAATTTCGCGAAACTTGGATATGTTGTAGCTCTTAATCTCAGCTACCGTTCCCAATTTGAATCATGTTGATTGATGAATTATTCGCGACGCTATGGCTTTTTACGCACTAGGGGGTAAGCTGTAGGAGGAGAACTTAACTCAATCTCAAAAGTTCAATCAAAGTTCAAGAATCTCACAAGGAATCAGAAGGAGCAAGAGAAAGGTTGGGATAGGAAGAGAGGGATGAGAGGGAAGGTCCCAAGAGAGTCCCCAACCAAGGAAACCCCATAAGCACCAAGATTCCCTCCCTATAGGAACCTCAACTTTGACCTTTGTCCCTTCCCAACCAATCCATCCAAGTTGGCCACCCTTGCCAACCTAGCTTGGTTGTTCCCAACCTATTTGCAGCTGTTACAGTAGAGTGACAAGTTTCCCCAACCCCAAAGGTCCCAACTCCATATAAAGTCACCCCACAACTTCACTTAGTAACCGCCGCAATTGTAACGCAAGCTCATGAACTTTGAATCTTCATAGCTTTCGCGTTCTTGCTCCGATTGAAGCGATTCTTGTTGCGTCGGAAAGATCTTCTCAAGATCTATCATCACAAATACCTGCTCAAACAAAAAATAACACAGAACACATTCCCAAACTCCAGAACACACACCACACAAATGCTTGCACATTCAAACCACACATGCAAGTTGAAAACATGGGATGGGAGGCAGACAGAATGTGATAGCATATGATGACATCACACAACAGTCAGAATGGCACTCTGGAGCTTCTTCTTTAATGGAAGCGTTATGATACTTCTGAGGCTGCGTCTCTGAATTCGACAAGCGTAACGCCCGTTGTCCTCTTCGCGACTACCTTGTCAAGCGGGGTGTTACTTCTACCACCCTGCTTTGAGGGGAGGAAGTGTGAGAGTACGGCGCTGTTACACCAATTTTCCTTTTTCATATTTCCATTCGATTTCATTCCTCTTTTTATCCTGATTCATTTGGTCTTTATCTCATCTCATTTGGTTTCCTATTCCTCTTTTTCCATAATCCTCTGGTTTATCCTGTTATTAAAATTATATCACCGACCAGGCTCGGGATGTACTAGCGCGCTATATCTAGCGTAATCCTGCCGTAATCCCTTATAGCCAATAGCCTCGCGTGGCTATACGCAGAGTGATTCTATTTCTAGAAGGGTCTATTCCCTTTGGATAGGATAAACCTGGTTACCTGATGTACTATGGAAGGATAAAAGCACCTTGTACTGATTGATAGTGCAACATTGAGCTAAACCTCATTCGATCCTGTGACAACGGCGCAGGTAGAAGTGCTCATGTAGGCTACCCTAAAAAAAAGCAATGGAGAAGTTGCGGGAGTGGAGCTCGTAGTCACGCTGTGCTGCTACGTGTAGCAGGACCCGAAGAGTAGTCATCTTCGGGGTCGGGGCGAAGGTCTGAAAGAAGTCCACCACTTCTTGCTAACTCTAGCCACGTATCACGCCTTGAACACAGGCGGCTCTCCAGGGGGGTGCTTCAACTTGAAGAGCCACTGGCCATCGACTACGTTCACCCGAGGTGGGGGAACTGCGTCGACGTAGCTGCCGGTGGATCTCAAAGATGCCATCTCCTGCTCCATGGCAGCTATCCACTAAGAGGCCCAGGGTCCCGAGGACGCCTTAGCGTAAGTGCGAGGGGTCGGGATGTCAAAGGCGTCTGGGTCACCCTCCGGGAGCAGCCTCCGGGAGGAAAGCAAGCTCGTGATGTCTGTCCTCTAGGACGTCACTGCCAAGGGCAGGAGCACCCCCGACGGATGGAGGTCACACAGGGTCAGAGACCAGAGCGGTGGCATTGTCAAGGCGGCATGTAGAGGCGAAAATAGCGATAGCAACGACAAGAGCGTCAAGACTCGAGACAGGAACAGACGGGTCGGTAACGAGGGAGGCAAGGACCTGAGAAACAAGAGGACGAGCAGTACCAAGGTAGTCAGACACAAGGGGAGGAGCGAGAGTGAGTGACAACAGAGGAAGGGAAGGTAAGAGGGGAGGACGAGACGCATGGGAACGAAGCAACACAGGGTGAGAATGCTGAACAGGAGAGATAGGATGAGCACGAGAGGGACGGCGAGACCAGACGTGAGACGCAGGCGCCGATTCGGGAGACAGAGGAGGAGTAATCGGAGGGGAACGAGGTGGTGAAACGGGTCACGGAGGAGTCCGGCGGAGGAAACACAGGGCCGTGGACAGGAAAAGGAGGAGGCGGCAGGGGAGGCACTGGCGAGCTTTCGGGGGAAAGAAGGCCGAGCAGGCAAAGGGCGGACATCGGCGGCGACTGCTGCTGCTGCTACTCGACGCTGACACCTGGACCACCAGCTGCACCGCGACTACCTCCGGAACACTCCACTCCAGCATCCCCAGAACGAGCACGCCAAGAACGAGAACCCTCTCCAGCACTGGTGCCACCCCTGAGCCCGCCGGGACAAGCCACGACAAGAACACGAGGACTAGCACCCTCCTAAACGCCAGCACCCCAAGAGTCCACGAACGGCTGCTGCTGCTGCGGCGGCGGTGGTTGCTGTGGTGGCAGCGGCAGCTGCTGCGACGGCAGCGAATGCGACGGTGGAGGAGGAGACACCGGGGGAGAGACTGGCGGTGAAAACTGCTCCACAGCGCTCGCTGAGTCAGCCGACTCCTCGACCGGTACAACCGACGGGAGAGGAGTGACGTGAGACACATCAGACCAAGCAGGACAGGGAGGAAGGAGAGTAGGGGCGACTGGGGGAGTGGGGACCAAAAATAGGGGAGGGGAAACAGGGAGACCTCGGTGGGGAAAGCGATGGTAAAAAGAGACAGACTTGTCGAAAATGGCATCACGGGAGTGAAAGAAGCGGTGAGACGGCGGTTGGTAAAAGTGTTTGTCAGCCGAGTCAAAGGGGAAACCGAGGAAGACACAGGGGACAGTGCGGGCAGTAAGCTTGTCCGTGCCAGAGGTACGAACGTGAGCTAGGCAGCCCCAGACATGGAACGCGGATGCGTCATTAGGGAACCCAGTCCAAAGAAGGGTCGGCGAAACCTGCGGCTGCTGGGAGCGTGGCCACAGGTTAAGCTGGTGAGCGGCATAGCGAACGACGAATGGCTAGAGAAAATGGGGTGCACCGGCATGAATTATGGAGGTACGAGCCACCTCCATGACCAAACCGATGCGTTGCTCAGCAACCCCATTCTGCTGTGGGGAGTCCGGTAGTGTCACAGGATCGAATGTGTCGAGGAAAGGTTGCACTATCGATCAGTACAAGGCGCTTTTATACTTCCAGAGTACATCAAGTAACCAAGTTTATCTTATCCTAAGGGAATAGACCCTTCTAGAAGATAGAATCACCCTGCGTATAGCCACGCGAGGCTATTGGCTTTAAGGGATTACAGCAGGATTACGCTAGATAGCGTGTCTAGAACATTCCATGCCTGGTCGGTGATATAATAATAATAAAGGAAGAAACCAAAGGATAATGGAAAATGGGGAATATGAGGCAAAAGGCGATGAGATAAAAAGAGGAATGAAATGAAGATGAAATATGGAAAAGGCCAAGTGGTGTAACGGAGTCGTACTCTCACAGGTAGGGTGTACGACTGAGTGATGCCATCCGCACGACAGATTTGTCCAAGCCGACCAGAGGCGAACTCGCCACGTTGCAGGTTATCGTGGGCTGGTGTCTGTGGTGCTGATGCCGCCTGACCGAATTCGGAGTGGAGACACAGCACACGGAGACTTCGATGGAGGCGCGCAGCGATGACCCACGGGCTAAGAACGTCAGGCATGTCGGCCATCCGCTCCAATGAAAAAACCAAGGTGTAGCGCGTGTAGTCGTCAACGAGCACTAGAATGTAGTTCTTGCGTCGTGGTCCAGGGATGGGGGCTAGGCCCCAGACGTTTAGGTGCAGGGTCTAGAGGGGTGCGGTGGCAGGACGAAGCGAGGAGGAGTGAGAAGCATGGCGCAGCCGGCCCTCTACGCAGGGCGTGCACGGCAGCGCAGGCGAGGGAGGGAGGGCAGGAAGCAACGCAGGGAGACCTAGGACGAGACCGTGCTAAGACATGTGACGCACGCGCGGGAGTGCGGGGTGACCTAGGCGGTGGTGCCACAGAAGGGATGGGTGAGTGAGCGACCGACACGAGCACGCAGCGGCGACCTGGGTAGGCGCAGGACTCGGGGAGGAAGGTCCACCCGGGGGGGAAGAAGTGTCCAGCGTAAAGAGGCCAGACACCGAGTCCAAGGTCGCAAGGGGAGAACCTGAGGCGGCCTCGATACAGACGGCGTACCGCTCATGACCCAAAAACGTAGTGGTGATGCCGAGGCCCTGAAGACAGCCGACACCAACTAACTTCCGGGAGAACGAGGGGATGTGCAGGCCTGTGAGGGAACTGAAGGGAACCGCTGGAAAGGGAAGGGTATTGTAGGTACGAGCAACTACAGGACCAAAGAAGGGGTCAGCAAGTGCGACAGCATCAGGTGCGGCAAGCGGCGTAAGCGCAGCGTGGTCGCGGAAGAAGTAGGCAGACGCACCGGAGTCAAGTGTGAAATACAGCGAAGCGGTAGCGGCGGACGAAGGAGGAGCAAGGGTAGAGCCTAGGCTAGACAAAGAAATCGATCCTACGCCTAGGCTAGAGAACATAGGGTAATAAGATTTGGAAATACTAGAAGCATCAGCATACAGAAAATGCAGGGCACAACTAATCAGATCCATGTCTATGTCAAACACAAGCCCACCGTGTTGCAGCAGACTGGGCCCGTCTGGGAGGTTCTGGGGCCGGGCCAAAACGGCGACGGAATAGATCATCGAGGAGGCGGAAGCAACGGGCGGTCGGGTGAGGGCAGCGGCACACAGTGCCACGGAGGGGCCCGGTTTGGAGCTGGTACTGGCAGCCCACAGTACCGAAGCCGCCGGTAGATGCCAAGCTGCGAGGACCACCACCGCGGCCACCACCTCCAGGGCCTCCTGGCCACCCCTGCGAGAGGCGGGCCCATGGCTGCTGCTGCGACTGCTGCTGCTGCGTCTGCTGCGGCTGCTGCTGCTCCTGGACATCTGCCCCAAGCCCCCTCGTCTGAACCACTGTCTCCACCCCCACTACCTCCACCACCAGCACCACCACCACGCCCTCCCTTGGGGCCGCGGCGGCCCCCACGCTATCGTTGCTGCTGCGGAAAGGCCGCCGCTGCAATCTCAGTGGCAGGAGTAGCTGTAGCGATGGCGGCGGAAACGTTAGCATACGTGCATTGGGAGGGAGCACAGCCATGGAAGATAGGGACCGCCGCAACACCGCTCGACTGAGCAATAGTGCTCTGGCAAATCTCTATCTCATAAAGGGCAGTGACAAAGGCGGTCAGGGTGAGGTCACTGGGGTGCTGGCTAAGGAAGTGGTCACGGGCAGTGGAAAAGCGGTCAGGCAAGCGCATGGCTAATGGCGATCTGCGCTACAGCATTGCGAGAATCCCAGACAGCGTGAGTGAGCACAGCAGCAACAAAGGCCTCACTCTTAGTGGTGGTGGGGTCAGCAGGGAGGCAATTAGACACGGGGGGGCGGGGAAGCAAGCCATCAAGATGCATAGCCAGGGAGTGCCCATCATGGCGCTGACCTGTCAGGTGACGGCGAAGATCGACAAGCCAAGCCGCGAAGTCGATCGCGTGCCCCTCCGCGTCCAGGCAAA